GTATGGTGCACAGGGAGAGTGATGGGTTGCGATGGGGAGGAAAACGATCCCCTGTATGGCTAAGCCAGCGGGAGGGAGAGGAGAATAAGCCATCTTTCATCTGCTGCAGAGAAAGCCTTCCATGGAATCGGCTCCACCCCCACCATGCCGATCACCCTCCCTGCCTACATCCAATTAACCCCCCTGCTGGCCTGGGCCCCATACAGGAAGACTGGCCCTGAAGACAGGTCCTCTTGAATCCTCATCCCACTTTGTGGATAAGCCAGGGTACCCATCCCTGCAGAATAGTAGACTAGGATGAGCTAGAAAAGTCAACCAGAGACCACATATAAACACCATACAGAGACCCGGGGGGGTCCCAATGCTGCAAATGTACTATTTCCACTAAGCTGTAGAGACATGACCCCCATCGACAGCACCGCTGCAGTCTATTCCGACTCCTTCAAATTGAATAAAAAAAAAGGAAAAATGAGAATTTTGTGCTTGACTGAATATTAAGAGATGAGGCAATAGCCTGCTAAAGTTGAGCAATCATTTCCCTCTCCCCGAGGATTGCCTCAAATGGGCTTGGTCAAAAAACCTTGAAATCTTAGCAGCTTTTTTTACCTTTACCATTTTATGGGATTCATTATGACTGCGGCCTTAATACCGGTATCTGCTGATTGCCGACCTTCCATTAGAAGCCTTCACAGTCCTGCTTCTCCATAGAGGAGCATCAATGCCGCTCCAGCTCCATTCACCCACCTCAATTCTTCTGTAACTCAATTTCATTAAATCCAAGCAGTGGAAAGAATGGCCGAAAAGGACCTTAAACAGCCGGCGTATAATTCATAAAGCGTATTCTTTCTGGCGGCGCACACCTTCCCATGGACCACATTACACTTCTTATGCAAAAAAGGGCAACGTTTGATGTCAATTTTCTGCTTCTCTCGACTAAACGGCAGAACTTTTTTTTTTTTTTTTTTTTTTATTTCTAATCCGAAGGAAAAGGTGCGCCGCGCAAAGAGTGCATTTCAAGGGAAGAAAAAAAAAAAGAAAGTAACAGATTAACATGGCGCTTGTGAACTGTATCCAATCAGTTCCTTCCCAGTGGCGTGTGCAGGAAACAATTAAAATCAAATTTATATTTCGCTGGCTTAATTTATGCTGTCATTAATGTCATCAACAACAAGCGTTAAGCTGGCTGAGAAATGATATGTTTATTCTCGGGATTTTAAAGCATATTTTCTTATAACTATTCCGAGATTGTTAATTAAGCTTCAGAATGGATTTTGTTTGGTTTTAAAGAGCCCCTACTATGTGTACGAGCCGTGTGTCAGAGGAGGAAGGAAGTCCACTCTCTAGAGCAGGGTTTCTCAACCAGGGTTCCTCCAGAAGTTGCTAGGGGTTTCTTGAGCCAGGAGCAATTTCTGCCTTTCAGGTAAGTTCCCACCATTGATCTTTTTAGGTTTTTGTAAGGGGGTAGTTCTTCACAATGACTACAAGGGAGAGGAGCATTCTTCCCACCGAATGGAACACTAATGTAGGTGTAGATATACCTTTTTAGCCGGGGTTCCCTGAACCTGGAAAGTAATTTCAAGGGTTCCCCTGTGTTACAAAAGGTTGAGAAAAGCTGCTCTAAAGCTTGGTACAGCGTATGGTCAACATGTTTATTAGTCCAGGTCTTAGTGTTGGTGGTACCTGGCAGGAGGACAATAGACAACCTCAGGCCTTCAGCTGCAGCTTTTGTATTATAGGTCATACTTAGTAGGGTAAGGGCATTCAGCAGGCTCCTACCATGTGTACGAGCCGTATTTCAGAGGAGGAAGGAAGTCCACTCTCTAGAGCAGGGTTTCTCAACCAGGGTTCCTCCAGAAGTTGCTAGGGGTTCCTTGAGCCAGGAGCAATTTCCGCCTTTCAGATAATTTTCCACCATTGATCTTTTCAGGTTTTTGTAAGGGGGTAATTCTTCACAATGACCACAAGTGAGAGGAGCATTCTTCCCACCGAATGGAACACTAATGTAGGTGTAGATATATCTTTTTAGCCGGGGTTCCCTGAACCTGGAAAGTAATTTCAAGGGTTCCCCTGTGTTACAAAAGGTTGAGAAAAGCTGCTCTAAAGCTTGGTACAGCGTATGGTCAAAATCCCTACTAAGTATGACCTATAATACAAAAGCTGCAGATGAAGGCTTGAGGTTGTCTATTGTCCTCCTGCCAGGTACCACCAACACTAAGCCCTCGACTAACAAACATTTTGACCATACACACAACCATATGCATTGTGAGAGCCATGATTGGCCAAACCAATGCACCTGACCACAGGTTAGGTGCAATGCTTTGGCATATCACAGCACAATTGGGCGATTTTGTTTGGTTTTAAAGAGCCCCTACTATGTGTACGAGCCGTGTGTCAGAGGAGGAAGGAAGTCCACTCTCTAGAGCAGGGTTTCTCAACCAGGGTTCCTCCAGAAGTTGCTAGGGGTTCCTTGAGCCAGGAGCAATTTCTGCCTTTCAGATAAGTTTTCCACCATTGATCTTTTCAGGTTTTTGTAAGGGGTCAATCCGCCTACTAAGTATGACCTATAATACGAAAAGCTGCAGTATTGATGGTATTCTTCACAATGACCACAAGTGAGAGGAGCATTCTTCCCACCGAATGGAACACTAATGTAGGTGTAGATATATCTTTTTAGCCGGGGTTCCCTGAACCTGGAAAGTAATTTCAAGGGTTTCCCCTGTGTTACAAAAGGTTGAGAAAAGCTGCTCTAAAGCTTGGTACAGCATATGGTCAACATGTTTATTAGTCGAGTGCTTAGTGTTGGTGGTACATATGCTGGCAGGAGGACAATAGACAACCTCAGGCCTTCAGCTGCAGCTTTTGTATTATAGGTCATACTTAGTAGGGTAAGGGCATTCAGCAGGCCCCTCATGTGTATGAGCCGTATTTCAGAGGAGGAAGGGAAGTCCACTCTCTAGAGCGGGTTTCTCAACCAGGGTTCCTCCAGACGTTGCTAGGGGTTCCTTGAGCAAGGAGCAATTAGTCGAGTGCCTTTCAGATAAGTTCCCACCATTGATCTTTTAGGTTTTTGTAAGGGGGTAATTCTTCACAATGACCACAAGTGTTAGGAGCATTCTTCCACACTTCCCACCGAATAAAACACTAATGTAGGTGTAGATATACCTTTTTAGCCGGGGTTCCCTGAACCTGGAAAGTAATTTCAAGGGTTCCCCTGTGTTACAAAAGGTTGAGAAAAGCTGCTCTAAAGCTTGGTACAGCGTAGGGTCAAAATCCCTACTAAGTATGACCTATAATACAAAAGCTGCAGCTGAAGGCTTGAGGTTGTCTATTGTCCTCCTGCCAGGTACCATGAACACTAAGCCCTCGACTAACAAACATTTTGACCATACGCAACCATATGCATTGTGAGAGCCATGATTGGCCAAACCAATGCACCTGACCACAGGTTAGGTGCAATGCTTTGGCATATCACAGCACAATTGGGTGATTTTGTTTGGTTTTAAAGAGCCCCTACCATGTGTACAAGCCGTGTTTCAGAGGAGGAAGGAAGTCCATTCTTAGAGCAGAATTTCTCAACCAGGGTTCCTCCAGAAGTTGCTAGGGGTTCCTTGAGCCAGGAGCAATTTCTGCCTTTCAGATAAGTTCCCACCATTGATCTTTTTAGGTTTTTGTAAGGGGGTAGTTCTCCACAATGACCACAAGTGAGAGGAGCATTCTTCCCACCAAATGGAACACTAATGTAGGTGTAGATATACCTTTTTAGCCGGGGTTCCCTGAACCTGGAAAGTAATTTCAAGGGTTCCCCTGTGTTACAATAGGTTGAGAAAAGCTGCTCTAAAGCTTGGTACAGCGTAGGGTCAACATTTTTATTAGTTGAGGGCTTAGTGTTGGTGGTACCTGGCAGGAGGACAATAGACAACCTCAGGCCTTCAGCTGTAGCTTTTGTATTATAGGTCATACTTAGTAGGATTGGGCTTGATGTTCGAGTCGAATATCGGCAATGAGCAATTTCTGCTTTTCAGATAAGTTCCCACCATTGATCTTTTTAGGTTTTTGTAAGGGGGTAAGTCTTCACAATGACCACAAGGGAGAGGAGCATTCTTCCCACTGACTAGAACACTAATGTAGGTGTAGATATACCTTTTTAGCCGGGGTTCCCTGAACCTGGAAAGTAATTTCAAGGGTTCCTCTGTGTTACAAAAGGTTGAGAAAAGCTGCTCTAAAGCTTGGTACAGCATATGGTCAAAATCCCTACTAAGTATGACCTATAATACAAAAGCTGCAGCTGAAGTCTTGAGGTTGTCTATTGTCCTCCTGCCAGGTGCCACGAACACTAAGCCCTGGACTAACAAACATTTTGACCATACTCAACCATATGCATTGTGAGAGACATGATTGGCCAAACCAATGCACCTGACCACAGGTTAGGTGCAATGCTTTGGCATATCACAGCACAACTGGGCGATTTTGTTTGGTTTTAAAGAGCCCCTACCATGTGTGCGAGCCGTATTTCAGAGGAGGAAGGAAGTCCACTCTCTAGAGCAGGGTTTCTCAACCAGGGTTCCTCCAGAAGTTGCTAGGGGTTCCTTGAGCAAGGAGCAATTTCCGCCTTTCAGATAAGTTCCCACCATTGATCTTTTCAGGTTTTTGTAAGGGGGTAATTCTTCACAATGACCACAAGTGAGAGGAGCATTCTTCCCACCGAATAGAACACTAATGTAGATGTAGATATGGTCATTTTTAGCCGGGGTTCCCTGAGCCTGGAAAGTTACTTCAAGGGTTCCTCTGTTTTAAAAAGGTTGAGAAAAGCTGCTCTAAAGCTTGGTACAGCGTAGGGTCAAAATCCCTACTAAGTATGACCTATAATACAAAAGCTGCAGCTGAAGGCCTGAGGTTGTCTATTGTCCTCCTGCCAGGTACCACCAACACTAAGCCCTCAACTAAGAAACATTTTGACCCTACGCTGTACCAAGCTTTAGAGCAGATTTTCTCAACCTTATTAACAAGGGGAGGAGCCGGTACACCTGTGCAAGATTAAAGGGGAGGAGCCAGTACACCTGTGCAAGACTAAAGGGGAGAAGCCGGTACACCTGTGCAAGACTGAAGGGGAGGAGCCGGTACACCAGTGCAAGACTGGAGGGGAGGAGCTGGTACACCTGTGCAAGACTGAAAGGGAGAAGCCGGTACACCTGTGCAAGACTGAAAGGGAGGAGCCGGTACACCAGTGCAAGACTGGAGGGGAGGAGCTGCTACACCTGTGCAAGACTAAAGGGGAGGAGCCAGTACACTTGTGCAAGACTGGAGGAGAGGAGCCGATACACATGTGCAAGGCTGAAGGGGAGGAGCTGGTACAACTGTGTAAGATTGGAGGGAGGAGCCGGTACACCTGTGCAAGACTGAAGGGGAGGAGCCGGTACACCTGTGCAAGACTGGAGGGGAGGAGCCGGTACACCTGTGCAAGACTGGAGGAGAGGAGACGGTACACATGTGCAAGACTGGAGGAGAGGAGACGGTACACATGTGCAAGACTGAGGGGGAGGAGCCGGTACACCTGTGCAAGACTGAAGGGGAGGAGCCAGTACACCTGTGCAAGACTGAAGGGAAGGAGCCAGGACACCTGTGCAAGACTGAAGGGGAGGAGCCAGTACACCTGTGCAAGACTGAAGGGGAGGAGCCCGTACACCTGAGCAAAACTGGAGACTGGAGGGGGGATTGAAACATATAATTGTTAATGGAGGAGCTTAATTATTGAGGTGCATTGTGTGTAAAGTCTCTTTAATCCTCACAATCTGCTTCATTTTCTAAGCGCCATAACCCCATAGAAGGACACGCCCCTGAAGAGCAGACGGGGTGAATGGCCATTCTATTTGTATATCTACCGCTGAGTTCTGTCATTTGCCTGGAGTTCCCCTTTAGGACGACGGTCGGGGAGAACAAAAGGCGTATTCAGCGAGCAGCTCTCAGAACGCCATGGTGACCCCCCCGTCCGCTTCTTCACCCGCCATTACCGCCGTATAAATAACTAATAACAATATCGCCGGGGTTGTTTATTATCCGGAAATTACCAATTGCTACCCGGGGAGGAATCTGTTAACGACACAAAATAATACATGAACTCCATAAACAGCGCCGTAAAAAGAAAAATACATATCAATTACCCCGCTCCATCGCGGGCCGCGCCGAACGCCACGACTCCCGCCATAAATCCATTCCGCGGAGATCATAACGGCCCTCTAATGACCGGATCTTAATGCAGATTCAAAGGGATAAGGAGACGGAGGTGATATATCTGACGCTGGAAACGGTCATTATCTGCCGCCGAAATGAGCTCTGCGCAAATGTCAATAAACAAAAAAAAAAATAGAACACGAGCCGAATAACTGCGATTTTTTCTTCCTGGTGCATAATGACTTTTAATTTGAGAAAGATCGTTGTGGATTTATCTGACGAGTTGGCGGCGGGTCGCAGGCGGTGGGGATGGATTTCGTGCAGCGGGAAATAAAAAACCGCGAAATGAAAAGGAAACGCCAAACAGAAAAACGCACAATGAGGGGACAGGAAGGTAACCGAGAAATTCGGAACACGGCCTGGGCAGTCCTGGGATTGCAAGTACCCCCCACCAGACAGCACAGCTGGGACAGTGGCCTCGTTTCTCTGCATCTTGTGATTGGACAATAAAGGAGTAGCTGACTGTCTCAGGCCCCGCCCCTTTCATTCATTGGATTTTTAGGTCTTTTAATCATGGCGGCTCAGCATATACCTAAGGTGGTCTGTATGCAAATACTGCTCACCTAGGAACACCCACTCCTCCAGACTGGCTCCACCCACCAAGGTCTTTTGATATTTGCATAACTTCTCCCAAGGTCCAGCCCAGTGCTTGCATCAAGACTGAGGGCTCTTGAGAGGAGGCGGGGTGTTGGGATGTTCTCAGGAAGCTATGTACAGCACCTTGTTGGCCCCTCCCCTGCAGCCATGATCTGTCTGCATTGCATAGAGAAGCACAGTGACCCATAGATGACATCACTAGGCATAAAATAAGGCATATAATAAAAACAGAATGGTTTTTTTATTTGAAAATGTAATTTGCATGTTGATTGGGGGGGGGGGGGGGGCTCTTTAAATCCTGCTCAGCAGGGAGGAAGAGGAAAGGCTGAGCAGTGATTGGCTGCTAATGCAGGCAAAGGGAAGGATCCACTCCTGGCAACCGGCCAGAAGGATTCTGTTTGGCTGCTGCCTGTTCTTAGCCCCACCCACCATCCAGGGCTGCAGAGGACCCTGTGACTGGCTGCTGTACAGCCTGGGAAAAGAACTTGGAACCCTGGGAGATGTAGTCCCCATGACAGAGCTCTCTATTAAGCCAAGCACTGAATGGGACTACAAGGGATAAAGTTGTGGAGAAGTGTAAAGCAGGGTTAGGTTATAAAACAATCTCCCAAGCGTTGCCCTTCTCACGGAGCACTGTGTTCAATCCATCATCCGAAAATGGGAAGAGTACGGCACAACTGCCAACCAGGGGCGGACTGACAACTCATGGGGCCCCGGGCAATAGGGGATCATGGAGCCCCTGTGTCCTTGCCCAAACTCAAAAAAGCCTATGAAAAAGGTACCAGGGGCATCTCATGTGGCCCCCTACTGGTCAGTCCGCCCCTGCTACCAACCTACCAAGACATGGCCGTCCACCTAAACTGACCAGCCGGGCAAGGAGAACATTCATCAGAGAAGCAGCCAAGAGGCTCATGGGAACTGTGGAGGAGCTGCAGAGATCACAGCTCAGGGGGGGAATCTGTCCACAGGACAACTATTAGTCGTCACTCCACAAATCTGCCTTTATTATTATAAAATTATACAGTATTTATATAGCGGCAGAAGGTTTGCTCAGCGCTGTACGTTATAGGGGGGACAGAACATGAGACAATACAGTAACAATACAATACATGAGGGGTTCAAGGGCCCTGATCCTGGGAGCTTACAATCTAGGAGGGAGGGGATAGTGGTACAGGAGGAAGTGGCTGTGGGGGATGGAGTGGTAGGAGGAGTGGAGGAGATTGGCTGTTAGGTGAGGGTGGGGTAGGCTTCCCTGAAGAGATGGGTTTTCAGGGTGTGCCTAAAGGTGAAGAGGGTAGGTGACAGTCTGATGGATTGGGGTAGTGAGTTCCAGAGAATGGGGGAAGTCCTGGAGAAGTCCTGCAGTCGGGCGTGGGAGGTGGAGACCAGGGAGCTAGAAAGTAGGAGGTCTTGTGAGGAGCGAAGGGCACGGGTAGGGTGGTATTTGGGTATCAGGTCGGTGAGGTAGTTTGGGGGGCGGAGTTATGAATGGCTTTGTATCTCTGTGTTAGTAGTTTGAATTTAATGCGTTGGGCAATCGGGAGCCAGTGGAGGGAATGACAGAGGGGGGTGGAGGACACTGAGTGGAGGCCAGTGGAGGGATTAGCAGAGGGGGGTGGAGGACACTGAGTGGAGGCCAGTGGAGGGATTGGCAGAGAGGGATGGAGGACACTGAGTGGAGGACAGTGGAGGGATTGGCAGAGGGGGGTGGAGGACACTGAGTGGAGGACAGTGGAGGGATTGGCAGAGGGGGGTGGAGGACAGTGGAGGGAATGACAGAGGGGGGTGGAGGACACTGAGTGGAGGCCAGTGGAGGGATTGGCAGAGGGGGTGGAGGACACTGAGTGGAGGCCAGTGGAGGGATTGGCAGAGAGGGATGGAGGACACTGAGTGGAGGCCAGTGGAGGGATTGGCAGAGGGGGGGGGTGGAGGACAGTGGAGGGAATGACAGAGGGGGGTGGAGGACAGTGGAGGGAATGACAGAGGGGGGTGGAGGACACTGAGTGGAGGACAGTGGAGGGATTGGCAGAGGGGGGAGGCGGAAGCAGAGTGGTTGGTAAGGTGGATGAGTCTGGCCGCTGAGTTCAGGATAGACTGAAGCGGGGATAGTCTGTGATGAGGGAGGCCGGTGAGGAGGGAGTTGAAGTAGTCCAGTTGTGAGATAATAAGGGAGTGAACTAGTTGTTTAGTAGTGTCTGGGGTGAGGAACGGATGTATTTTGGAGATGTTGCGGAGGTGGAGCCTGCATGAGTTTGCCAACGATTGGACATGGGGTTGGAAGGACAGGTTTGAGTCTAGAATAACACCCAGGACTTTGGCTTGTGGGGTGGGGCTGATGGTGGCATTGTTGGTTGTGATGGAGAGGGCGGGGGGGGGGGGGGCACGGGCTGGGGGGAAGACTAGGAGCTCTGTTTTGGAAAGGTTCAATTTGAGGAAATGGAGTGACATCCAGTCTGATATGTCGTTCAGTAGGTGGGTGATACGGGTGGAGACTGAAGGAGTGAGGTGAGGTGGGGGGTGGAGAGGTAAATTTGCGTGTCATCGGCATAGAGGTGGTAATTGAAGCCGTGGGAGTGTATCAATTTGCCGAGGGAGGAGGTGTAGATGGAGAAGAGAAGGGGCCCGAGGACCGAGCCTTCGGGGACCCCAACAGAGAGGGGGAGGTGGCAGCATTATAGGTAACGCTGAAGGAGCATTGGGATAGATAGGAGGAGAGCTACGAGAGAGCGGAGTCTCTGATGCCGTGGGAGCGTAGTTTGCTAAGGAGGAGGGGGTGATCAACTGTGTCAAAGGCCGCGGAGAGGTCAAGGAGTAGGAGGACTGAGCAGTGGCCATTAGCTTTGGCGGTTAGCAGGTCATTAGTGATTTTGAGGAGGGCGGTTTCGGTGGAGTGTAGGGGACGGAAGCCGGACTGTAGTGGATCGAGGAGGTTGTTGTCAGTGAGGTGGGCGCTTAGGCGATTGTAGACTAAGCGCTCAAGGAGCTTGGAAGTAAATGGCAGCAGCGAGATGGGTCTAAGGTTGTTCAGGTCGGTGGGGTCCAGGGAGGGTTTTTTGAGTATGGGAGTGATGTGTGCGTGCTTTAGGGGGGAGGGGAATGCGCCAGTAGAGAGGGAGAGATTAAAGATGTGAGTGAGGGAGCGTAGGAGGGAGGAGTAGGGTGACCGGAGGAGTTGTGTGGGGACAGGGTCAAGGGGGCAAGTGGTGAGGCGGGCTTCTGAGAAGACCTTAGTGACCTCCTCAGTGGTAGCAAGGCTGAAGGAGCTGAGTGTTGGGGAGGTTATAGTGTGAGGGATGTTAGGTGTGGTGGGGGGCAGGGCGGTTGCGAGGTCAGAGGAGGGAAGAGTTGGTGGGGTTATTGGTGGGAGGGAGGCTAGGTGGGGAGGTAGGCTGAGCATTGGCGATGTCCTTACGGATTGCGTCGATCTTATATTGGAAGTGATTGGCAATCTCGTGGGCGGTGAGTGAGGTACTGAGTGGAGGGGGAGAGAGTAGGGAGTTGAAAGTGGAGAAGAGCCGGGGAGGACAGGTGGAGAGGTTGTTGATGAGGGTTACGAAGTAGGCTTGTTTGGCGGCATGGAGGGAGGAGGTGTAGGTGAGGAAGGCAGATTTGTAGAGGGAGAACGCGTGAGGGGATCTGGTTTTGCGCCATAATCGCTCCAGCGCGCGACTGCGTCGTTTAAGATTTTTAGTTTGGTCGTTCTGCCAGGGTTGAAGCGGTCGGTCTAATGCTACCTGTGGATAGGGGTGCGAAGGAGTCTATGGCAGCTGACAGCGAGTCATTGTACGCAGTAGTGGCCAGGTCAGGGCATGACAATGGAAGGATACTGTCGTACAGACGGTCAGC